TACTGCATGCTCTACTCCGACTACTTCGCCGATGCTCCACTTCACGGCGAGAAAACATTTCGGCGCCGTTATCGGATCAGCCGGAAGCTCTTCCTCAGGATTGTGAATTCCATCCGATAGTTCGACAAATACTTCAAGTGCAAGATGGATTGCACCGGCGCCCTTGGATTAACCTCCATTCAGAAGTGCATGACAGCGATGAGGATGCTTGCATACGGAGCTCCCGGTGATTCACTCAACGACTATGGGCGCATGGCTGAGTCCACCAGCATAGAGTGTTTCTACAAGTTCTTTCGGATAGTGGTGGCCGTGTTTGGACGGCAATACTTGAGAACACCCAATGCGGAAGACACTTCTCGGATCCTAGCATAGAATGCAGCAAGAGGATTTCCTAGGATGCTTGGAAGAGTCGACCGCATGCATTGGAAATGGAAGAATTGCCCATTTGCTTGGCAGGGGATGTACAAAGGCACCAAAGACGGTTGCAGTGTGGTACTTGAGGCGGTGGCCACACAGGACCTCTGGATTTGGCACTCCTTCTTTGGTATGCTAGGAACTCATAATGACATCAACGTGCTGCAGTGCTCTCCTATCTTTGCCAAGCTTGTTGAAGGTCATTCTCCTCCGGTGAACTTCAAGATCAATGGGCGGCACTACAACAAGAGGTACTATCTAGCTGATGGCATCTATCCAAGATGGTCGACATTTGTGAAGACGATCTCAAACCCTGTGCCAAGAGGCAAGAACGCCTGGTTTGCGAAGGTTCAGGAGGCTTGCAGGAAGGATGTCGAGAGGGCATTTGGTGTGCTCCAATCTCGATTTGCTGTTGTCCGGTACCCCGCTCAGACCTGGTCGAAAGATCAAATGTGGGAGATTATGACTTTTTGTGTCATCTTGCACAACATGATCATCGAGAGCGAGCAAGAAGACCCAGTGTTTGACACTGAACCATACTACAGGTAGGGTCCTCTAGCTGAAGTTGATCACCAGCTAACGGCAACCTGGACTGCCTATCTCAGTATGTGTCAGGAGATCCGAGACCCACAGGTGCATCATCAAGTGCAGCAAGATCTGATAGAGCATCTATGGAGGCTCAAGGGCGATGTCGGGCGCGACGTGTGATGGAATATGAGTTTTTATTTGTTCAACTATATAAATTGTATTGAACTATTTGTTGTTGTACTATTTTGTTGAAGTATTTGATATTTCTGTGATGAAATATGTGATAAAAAAATTTATGTGCATAATTGAACGCCGAACAACGGCAAACCACGCCGAATATGGGCCTATTGTCGCCCATATGGGCCCTTTATTCGCCGAAATGGGATAAGTGGGCCAATATCACCGCTCCCAGCGCCGATTGTATCGTTGGCTCACCCCCAGGGGGCGATTTTTATTCGTCCTGGGGGGGCGAACGGCTGGAGATGCTCTTAAAGTTTCTAAATTCGAAATGTTTCAAATGGAATTCAAATCATTTTCAAACCCCTTTTTTCATTTCTTGAAATGGAAGAAGTCATATTATCTTCACTCTAGGGTTTTGTGATGAAATGAATTTGAATTCAGGAAGATCAAAATGCAAGATGAAAAGTTTCGAGAAAGTCCTTTTATTCCCTCTCATTCAACTTTCAAAAAGTTTTCAATTTCCAATCATTTTCACACAATCAATCACACAACAAACAAACAATCATAATTAATTATTTAATATAACATTCCAAAATTTAGAATTTTGGGATGTTACATTTGCACTTCTTTCTAGGCATTGATGTTAAGAAGACTCAAGATGGCATAGTACTAAAACAAGAGAAATATGTTACTGAGCTTCTATGTCGTATGGGGATGAAAAACTGCAAGCCTGTACCTACACATTTGTCCTCCTCAGAGAAACTTTCAGCATATGAAGGTCAGCCACTTCACAAGGAAGATAACACAATGTATAGAAGTACTGTTGGAGCATTACAGTACTTGACTCTTACTCGCCCAGATATCTCATTTGCTGTTAACAAAGTTTGTCAATATCTGCATGCACCCACTACTGCACATTGGACAGCTATTAAGAGAATTGTAAGATATGTCAAACATACTATGGGAGTAGGACTGCATTTCAGACGCTCTAATTCTACTCTTGTGAGTGCATTCTCTTATGCTGACTGGGCAGATTGCAGTGATGATAGAAAATCAACTGGAGGCTTTGCAGTGTTCTTTGGGCCTAATCTTGTTTCTTGGAGTGCTAGGAAACAAGCCACTGTATCAAGGTCAAGTATAGAGGCTGAGTATAAATCCTTAGCTAATGCCACTGCAGAAATCATTTGGATTGAATCACTACTGGATGAAATGGGGGCAAGCAGAATCGCATCTCATGTTTATGGTGTGATAATTTGGGACCAACATACTTGTCTGCAAACCCAGTGTTTCATGCAAGAACCAAGCATATAGAGATTGATTTTCACTTTGTGCCTGAAAGGGTTGCAGCAAAGAAACTTGAGATACGGTTCATCCCTTCCAAAGATCAAGTGGCTGATGGGTTCACCAAGGCACTACCAGCAAAACCATTTGAAGAGTTCAAGAGGAATCTAAACATAGAATAGTTGAGATTAAGGGAGGGTGTTAGAATTCATGTTTATCTCCGCATTGTAATCTCAACTCTATTCTATCTCTCTCCCTCGCGTAGCTGTTTAGGAGTCCTCCTTACAACCGAATCCTTGCGATCAGTTTCCTCTTCTTGTAAGCCACGGCAGGGTTGTTCTGCCTCGTTCAATATAAACCAACACGGCTCCTCATCGAGGAGTAGGAACGCTTCCAAATCATACAATGCAAGCATCCAGAAACAAATACTATTAATCAAGAAAAGAAAAAAACCACGCCTCATGAACACGTATGAGCTGGTGAGGCCAATCTTTGTCTGAAGTTCAACAACCAATTAGCTCGTCAATTATTGAAGGAGTGCGTTCTAGTTTCTGCCGAGGAATCCTTCAAACACCTTTGTTGTAGTAAAAAGTGCGAAACCACCTCCACAATCAGAATGCTTCTAGTCATATTACATTATTGCACATCAATAAGTAGAGTAATTATATCGGTTGAATTCCTTGACAATCTGTAAGGTTATATTATAAGGTTTACAATCATACAACCGTTGAACAAAATTACATGCATATATAAAACTATATAAAATTACATGCATATATAAGTATTACATCAATCTTCTTTCTTGCATTTATTTATACTCACAAACTAGCTCCATCCCAATGAGCAAGCTAGCTTGTAGACCCCAGATATATATTAGGGGGGCAATCATGCATCACACGTACAAGTGGCCGTGGTTGGCCTGCAGCTTGCCACATCAGCACGCGCCACTGCGGAATCCCACGCTCCCGCTGCCGACGTCGTACAAAACCTCGTAGGTCTGCTGCTGCACGTTGCCGATGAATCCGATGGAGCCGTGGCCGCCAGGGGAGGCCGTGAAAGCCAGGCAGCCGTCCAGCATGATGGACGCCGGCTCGAGCTCCAAGGTGGCACCGCCTGCGAACACTAGGGACACCTTAGGGACATTGACCTCGGGGAAGCGGGTCAAGTCATAGCACGTGTCAAGGTTGCGTACGGGATCCGCAAGCGGGCCATACGCCGTCATGGCGCTCGTGAACGCTGCCCGCAGCGCTGCGTATGCCGACGGTGGCAGCTGCGTGACGACCGCCCCTGAGTCCATCACCGCACCACCGGCGAACGTAGCCGGCGGCACGTCGAGCCGCCTCCCGGCCACGGTGATTGCCTCCAGGCGGACGATGTAGAACGTCGGAGCGTGTTGGTTCTTGATCAGAGGCGTGCTCGCGAACTGCGACGAGTTCCCCACCGGCCCGCCCAGCGAGAGGAATCCATCGGAGCTCGGGTGCGGGACGCAGTAGGAGAAGGCGTTGCCGAAGGTCTCCGCGGTCTGCGCAAGGAGGGACCCAGCGCCGCCGCCGAGGGCCAGGACGCCGGCGGTCTGGTCACTGAAGGTGCCCCTCACGGCGTGGCTGCACCCGAACCGGAAGCCCTTGACCGCGATGGTGGGCGACAAGGTCAGCGTGTCGGTGACGTATGTCCCGGCGGTGGCCCTGCCGTCGCCGTAGTCGAGGATGTACTTGCATTGGTCGGAGCCGGCGGAGCAGCCACTGCTGTGGCTGCTACCGAGCTCCGTGCAGGCAGGGGAGCCGCAGGGGATAGGTGCGTACGTGCTGGAGTTGGCGGGGTCGTAGAGTTGGTCCTTCTGGAGGTGACACTGCGGGGCGGGGCACGGGAGGCACTGCACCCACGGAATGTCGCTGCTCGTGTCCACCACCACCGTTTGGCTCACCTTGGAGTACAAGTGTTCGCTGGTCCTTTCCATTGTCGTGGAGCTTGTCCCGCCGCCGCCCCCCAGCGTGCTTTTCGCAGTCATACTGCTGTCGATGTTGCTAGTTTTGGCTTCACGGGAGTGGATGACCGGCAGGCCATCGCCGGCCCTGCCGCCGGAGAGCTTCCTCCGGATTGAGCTGGTGCGTAGCTGGTCCCACGGGAGCATGCCGTCGACGACCGTAGTCGCCGCCGCCGACGAGCATGGGCCGTGCGGGCGGTTCATCGGTACCCACCTGACACCGTCGCCGGACGGCATTGTCACTGTTTGTCGACAGACGAAGACGACAGGTTAACACGCATGCATATCCATCAATGAGCTCAATATTAAGCTAGCTACTATATGACGTACTTCCTCCGTTCGGAATTACTTGTCGCAGGAATGGATGTATCGGGAATTACTTATCGCAGGAATGGATGTATCTAGACATATTTCGAATACATCTATTTCTGCGATAAGTAATTCCTAACGGAGCGAGTATGTACTAAATAACGTATGCATATGCATGCATGCAGTACCCTTAGATACTCACCCTTGTGTCCGGAGCAGACGGCGCCTTCTGCGATATGCTTTAGGGAGCTTGTTTTCACTGTCATGAAGTTGAGGAGCTGATGATGGTCACCCACACAAGAACCTACAGACAAGCTGACAAGAAGAAGCAATAGCAGCGGCATAGCGGAAATCGTCATGATTGTTGTGCTACTACGTGTGGCCTGGGATAGATCGATGGCCGCTTATGACTTGTGTTGGTCCTCCGCTCTCTAATCTCTCTCTATATCTCTACCTAATAATAAAGAGAATTGAGTTTCCGTCGTCGCGCGCGATTTTGCATAAAAGCCCCTCAGTTTATATGAAATTAACCCGCAGTCCCTGTTTTAGTAAGTCTTTTTGTAACGTTACATTTTGCAGAGAACCCCCTGTATTCATTAGATTTGCATCCGCTGTCCTCGTAGTCTTATCCATTTCTCTGGAGATCGCGATGGCGACGGTGACGGCGACGGCTTGAGGGCTGCGGGGACGGTGCGGCGAGGAGGGGCAGGTGCTGCGGAGACGGCGCGGCGAGGAGGGGCAGGTGCTGCGGAGACGGCGCGGCGAGGCGGGGCAGGTGCTGCAGAGACGGCGCGCGGCGAGGCGGGGCAGTGGCGTCGCGGGGGAGGATGGAGGATGCCGGAGCAGAGGACGACAGCTCCCGCCGTCGCTGCTGTCCGCGCACGCCCGCGTGCTCGCCTCCGTCCGCGCCCGCGCCGGAGCCCAGGAATGGGGAACGGGGCGAGGCATTGCGGCGGAGGACAATAAAGCGGCCGGCGTGCTCGCTTTGGGCAAGGCGTCGCGGCGGAGGACGACATGGCCGTCGGCGTGCTTGCTTGGAAGGATGGAGGCCGCCTCGCCGGGGCGCGGGCGCGGTAGCACGGCGTCGGGGCCGGGGCAGTGGTTTGACGGGCGACGCGAAGGAGGTGCTGTCCTGGCGTCAGCGACCAGCGCAGGTTCATCCCTCCCTCCATTTTCTTTCACATCCAAGCAATTTGAGAATCTAAGGGAGGGAGAGATGGCGCCATCGATGAGTGGATACAGGGGCGGCGGCAGCGGCGCCGTGGCTGAAGGTGGGGAGGCACTTGAAGGGATGAGCTTCTGCTTTAGAGAGAGAGCAGAGGGCATGCTGGCCGCTGCTGCTTGAGAGATAGAGATAGGTGAGGAAGAGAGAGAGCAGAGAGATGAGCGATAAAGAGCAGAGAGAGACGCTAATTGCCACATATTTAGATTGAGGGCTTGCTGGATCTGCTGCTGGTTGCTGCTGGTAGAGAACAGAGGAGAGACGGAGTTCGATGCTGATCTGCTCTTGTGGAGAAAAATAAGAGAGATAGATGAGGAAGAGAGAGAAAGCAGAGAGATGATAGAGAGGGAGGGAGGGACACTGATTGCTGCACATTTAGATAGATGTATGATGCTACTAATTGATGCACATTTAGATAGAGAACAGAGATGTAGCTTGCTACTGCTTGTTGTTGTTATTGCTACAATCTCATCAATCAATCTATATCTAATAATAAATAGTGCCCAATTTATATCCAGATATTTTGAATCTATCATCAAGGGAAAAGACATCACTGAACCCTTTGGATTCTAATTGCAAGGTTAAATAATTTTGTGTTTTGTGTGTGTTCTAACTCTCTGGGATAATCTGCAGCTATTTGGCTCATCGTCATGCCGCAAGTTTCGAACATAGCTCTATACAGTCTCACCGTTCTACCAACTCCGCAGGCTGCCCGTACTCCATAAGCTGTCGTACAATCTCACCGTTCTACCAACATCAATGGACCACCCATGCTCCATGTGAGGTATGCATGATCTCATGCACATCTAAATTCGGTTCTGTCATTTTGAAAAAGACATATCTTTCATGTGTGTCTGCAACCACAACTGCTATCATCATCACCTTGCCGATATAGGGCCAGTCTACACTATTTTGGCCTGATAAATTAGCCACAAAGTAGGCTATCTTGAGAAGAAATATATGCACACTAGAGAGTACTTCATAGTGGTGCATGGTAGTTCGAATGTCTGGAGAAAGTACCTACCCAGTATTGTACGTGAAAGAGTTGACTGGAGCTGCTGCAAGATCTTCTGCTTTGTACTCAGAAAGTTTTCTTGAGTTCACTTTTCCAAAGCTAGCAGCAATACTGGATGCTGGACTAACAATCTGGCATAAAGAGGGAGAATAATATATCCCATGTTCTTTGTTACCTAAGTCAGGGCTCGGCCTATTCTGTGCATTTTTTATGATGCCATGTTCTGGCATTCATTATCTGTTATGCCTCATGCGTTTGTCTTAAGCCTACTAATAACATTTTTGCCCAATGGTAAATCTACTGAACAAACTCCTGTCTTATTCCCATTGTGTGCCTTAAGGTTCATCTATTCATGGTTAGTTTTCCTTACTGTACAAATGTCATTTCCTTTTTGTATATTTTTTATTCTTTGTCCTTTACGGTAACATAGACCGTGCTCACATGGTTTCATAGTTCAAGATTTCTTCGTGAGTGCCATTCGAGGTCAGAGTAAATATTTTGGCACAGTAAATACTGAAGGAAGTGTCATCCAATTTCGTCTTATAAAGCTATAACAGTTCTGGTACATATTTTTTTATCTGATTAACTGGCACTTCTGCACCACCATAATAAGCAGTGTAGATCTGCCTCTTTGTTTTCAAGTAATGTGAGAACTTCTATCCTTCTATAACAAGCGTGGTAACTTCTTTATCTTTGTTCTAATAAATACTGTATATTGTTAGTCGATGAAAGTCTACTTATCAACTTTGTTAATCTGACTATAGTCAATCTAGAGGGTGCTTCTTTAGCTTCAGTATTAATTAGTAATATTGGCAGTTCTCTGTAGTACTCTGGTCTTTTTCCCTTCATGATTGCTTAGTTGCGTTTTTTTGCTTCTGACTATACTGCTCTGCTGTAGACGATAGCGTCTCAAAGTGGACTTTTCGATCATTTGATAAACGTTTGGAAATTCAAGCCTGGTCCTGTTCTGCAACCTGTGATGTTTACTTCTTAGTGGACTTTAAGTTTCAGTCACCCAATATCGCCAGGTAATATAACAAGGCTATTGTTTTGATCATAATCAAGAATGTCTGCTTATCGGAAAGTTAACCTTTCTCACCCTGCAAGCAACTGCTACCATTATTGCTTAGAAGGGGCAGCTTAGTGATACAATCTCTTGACTATAGGGCAGTTAGTGATTGCCATATTTGTTGAATTAAACTTTCACCTATTAGATCAGTTTACACACTTTGAAGTCTACTTAGTGTACCTCTAAGGTTGTCCTTCTGCAAAGGTATATCACCTACAGATGATCCGATTTTTCTTCTTCTAGACCCCCCTGTGTGTATATATGACAGACATTGTCTTTCTGATTTATTTTTCCAGTAGATGATTTTGGAGAAGTTTTTGAATCCATGCCTTTTTGCTATACTATTTTTTTGGGGTAATGCAATAGAAGTTATATAATTACACTTAAGTAGTTGATTTATCTGGCAATACATTGTCACGATGATAGCTCTAACCTCTCTGCCGACAATCTGAAAATTGTAGCATTATCCTTTACTAATTTTAAATGTTATTTTGGTGATTGTTTCTCGGAGGAGCACACTTTGGTTCAGTAGGAAGCAGATGAATGAGACATTTTCATTGTTTTCTATTCCATTGTTATGTACACACACACACACGAGTGGTGCATAAATGTTTTATTGCTATTTATCCTTTCATGAGCTGGATGTGCCATTGATGGCGATGGCGAGCTTGGATTAGTTGGATTCAGAAGGTTGAGACGATGGATGGTACGGAAACATTTTTATTAGAAAAATAGCAGATGATATGCATGCTGATTCTCCGGTTCTGAAGATATATATTTGACACAGTACATGCTTAAGTATATATGCACATTCGACTTTAACTATTGTAAAAAAGTTTATCACATCAAATTGTATTTCAGCAAAGTTTCAGTTGGCTCTCATCAGTGAGCTAATTCTATTAAAAAAATCTACAAAATAACTGATAATGAAATTTCTTAGCAGTACTGTATATGTCAGGTGCAATGAGATAGTTTTATCCTATGTGACTTCCTGTCTGTTGCATTTCCTGATTTCGTTTTTCTCTCCATTTTTTTAGGTTCCAAGGTTTGGCCACAATATTTGGAGACATTTCCTGTTAGGAGTTAAGGTTTGGCCACAATATTTGGAGACATTTCCTGTTAGGAGTTAAGCTTTGGTTTGGAGGCATTGAACTTTGGCTGTAAATAACTAACTTTGTTACTTGGTATACTTCTGTCAGTTCATGTAAACAACTATCTACCACACCACACTGGTTAATCTGGGATTTCCTTCGGGACCAAATGTACCAAATCCTGCTTTGGGTGGAGATCTGATCATTCCTATATTGTTAGATTTGACTTTCATCTATGTGTTGCTCCGCGTGTATCTCGGCATAAATGGTTCATCATACTATGATCTAATGTAGTGATTTTAATTATGTTACTTCTTGATGAATATGCATTACATTGTATTTTCATGGAAGCCTTTTCTTTCCTCTCTAATCATACTACGGCTCTTATCCTTGCCTCTATATGAACCTAGAAATATTATGGCTGACATAGTGATACTCTCCCTCAGGGACATCCCGACACATGATGCTCCATCAACAACTTCAGAATATGATGCTGATCCTCAACCTGCAACTTTGTAGCCACACTGCCTTTTGTTTTATGTAGAAAATTAACAGATTTTGTTATGTGTTTCAGCATGAGCTAATAATTAGAAAGAACAGATTTTGTTAGTTATGAGATTGGTCCTTCAATATGGCATAGAAAACATATTTTTGAGTACTCCTGCTGTTTTGCTGCTTGCAAAGTAGTTTGATGGTTTTTTAAACAATTCTAAGCACGTATTTATTGATTTTGTATCCGTTGGGATGCACGGACCGTACGTATTTATTGATTTTGTATCCGTTGGGATGCACGGACCGTTTTGCTATACCTGCTGATAATGGGAGGTGATATTCTTCTCTTCCGTCATGTGCATAAGACGGATTTACCCTTCCACTAAATTACATAATTACATTCGTCGCCCGACATTCATATCTATGTCCAAGTCGTATTCTAGGAAACCAATCCTTCCATACATTCTCTC